GTCCGTCTGTCCGTCTATCCACCTCGTTTTCTTGGTTTCAACCTACAAGTCGCAAATTTTTTAGAATTTTGATGAAGTTTTCAACATTGACGTGTTTTATTTTAAGGACGGACGAACGCCTATGAAAACCTTATTTTGAACAGTCGTTATGTAAATGACCGTAGAGTGATGTAGAGTACTTAATGACGAGACGTGATCAACTACAATGTTTTTATTTGCTTTTAAATTAATAACTCTCGATCTGTAGTTAGTCATATACGATTTTTATCTGCTAAATACTCAAAATTCACTCTAACCCAATTTCTAAGCCAAGACACTCGCTGATTCTTTTTAAGGTGTGACGACGGCGCATGTATAGCGCGATTTTGGAAAACTTAGGCTGTAGTATCTTCAGCATTAAAGTTTCATGTTTGATGTGAATAAAATTTTCTGAAAAGCCGATTCAACGGATCAACAAAGCCATACAAAAATCGGTGAATCCGTTCACACTCATCACTTGCAAAATAGTGAATGAAGACTTACTCATTCACTATATATACCGATCGTATATTGTCTCGTATATATCGTATCTTGCATTGATTGCATATCATTTTTAAGATCAAATCCGCGATAATATTGAAGAAAAATTGTAAACTCTTGACTAAAAGTTTTGAAAATCTGAAGATAACAATTTAGAAAGAGAGCGAAATAATAATTTTTTTCCAATAATAGTATAAGAGCCCATTGATGGACCGATTAACGTGATGAGTGCGGCAAGAGAAAAATTGAGAACAAAGTTGTTCTTCTGGAAAAAGTTCAAAGACGACGGACTCCGATACTCTCCAATGCGTACTTGTATGCATTATAAGTTTGAAGAGTATTTTATTGTGTGTGAGTCTGTTTGTGTGTTTTGGTGTGTGTATGCGTTCTCTGATCGACCGACCACGACCACGTCGTTAACATTGTTGCGATGGGCGCTCATTGCTCATTTTTGAACAGTTGTTTAAAACGTTGATAACCAACCGTTGATATCACAGATAACTCATTTATAATTTGCAACATTGTATTATTTAATTATAACATCGCACAGTTTCGTGCATCGCGGCCTGCGCTTGGCATCGACATTGGGCGCAAGCACGTATGCGAAAAATAAATTAATGGATGTGCATTTTTTATGTTCCGTCTTATTTAATTTAAACTTCGTTTCTTCATACTTTAGAAAAATGAAAGGCGAGAGAAAAGTATATTTATTTGCTTTTGAAAAGGAAAAAAACAAATTAAATTTTTATTTTTTTATTTTTATTAAACAATTATTGAAAATTAAACGAATAGGTATTAATTATTCACTGACTTGCAGTCAGGTAAATCTGAGAATTATTGCAAAGAGTAGCAAACGATTTTTTGCCTTAAATAAATGGCTTGACATGTCACGATAAATGTCTTTAAATGATCTTAAAGAACGCGTCATTATGTTTTTAGTAAAAAAAAAAAAAAAAAAAAAATAAAAGTACCTTTAGTAAATTCTCGTGAATGTCTAACTAAAAGGAAGCATTAAAAATATCTTATGAAATATGTCTCAATCAAATCGTATATACACATCCGTTTAAGAGAATTGAGGAGGACATGGTATGCGTAATTTTTGAAGGTAACGATCTTACCCACGCACATAAACACATCTTATCATCAGCAAATCTCTGATCCGAGATAATTTATTTTCAATTTTTGATAGCGGAATTTTATTAAGAAAGAATTTATTCTTTAAAGAAAAAGAGAAATTGCCGGTTTTTGTTTTTTTGCTAATATCGAGCGTGACAATCGGTCGATCCAATTCTGGACGACAACCAGATGATTGAACATTGCTTCCATCAGGCAGATATGCTTAAGTCAAAGCACATATATATATATATACATGTATATGTATACGTATAAATATATTTCATGGGATTTCCGATGTTATCTATCCGATGAGATTTAATAAACCCTGCGTTGTAGCTTAAAAAACAACATGCGATTCGCTCATAGTGTAAATATACAGAATAAAAGAATTTTTCAGCTTATATGACAAATTCTCACCAATCATCTTATTGAAGTGAACTAATTATCGGTTATATATGTGTGTACGCAAAAAAAAAAAAAAAAAAAAAAAAAAGAAAGAAATTAGGTACTTTCATTTGAACTAAATTATAATTTTAATTTTAGAAAATTTTCCTTCTTCTTCATAATCCTTATTCATCTAATTAACATCATATCAATTCTATTAATCTTTAGTTTTCTGTTAACATTTATTTGTAATATTGCATCATTTTTTAAAAAAAAGTTTTTTTTTTTTTTATGGAAAATAACCATAAACAAACATTTCAAACCTTATGTTTACCTTAAGGCAGTCGTTGACAAATTTTGTTTCATGGAACCATAACGTTCTCACAGATTTTAGTTCAAATGAAAGACTGTCCACCGAACTGAAGAATAGTGCCAGCATGGATATAACTTGCATTCGACGAAACTTGCGAAAATGCCTCGTTAGATGGCGAACGAAGAATAGAAGATAGAATCATTTTCCTGTGAAGAGCGCAATACTCTCATCTCCCTCGATCTTTCGCAAGAATGCAATTTTGATAGCACCATGGGAAGAGCAAGCGATATTACATTGATATTGTAGATATATATATATATGCATATATATATATGTATATATATATATATATATATATATATATATATATTTGGGCAATTTTTCTTTTTCATCATTATTTATGTTACGCAACATACTTACATGTGGGAATTGTTCTTCGCACAAACAGAGGCGAACGGGTAGTATCATCTAACATATAAATTGGGAATAGTTGCTTTTCTTTTAATTAAGTTATGATCCTTCTCCTGATCTCTTGATCAAATTTTATCATTATGAATGTGTATTTGGCATAATAATGTATTTTACAAAATATTGTCAAGTTTTTCGTCATCGCTAAAAAGGTCGGCACAGTTAATATGTAAAATACATATTTCGTATTAAAAAAAGTAAACAAAGTGATATGTCACGATCCACGGTTGAATACTCTACACCAACCTACAATTACTCATGTACTGGCTTTTCAAAATAAGTCGATGTATGGCAAGTGATCGAGAAAGCTATTCGATCCGATCAATTTTTAATGGCTTTCATCTTTGTGTCTGAGCACATCAGTGTATCAAATTTCATCCAAAAAATCTCAAAAATTATGCCTTATAGAATGAACTCAAGGAAACAAAACGGCGAGACGGACGCTTAAATGGATTCAGGAATTCGTTCAGAAAGCTATTCAGAAAATGATTCCGAATCGATCGGCATATTAAAGATGGGCCTATCTCAACTCCTACTATGTGTTGCATACGTATCAAGCAACAAGCGGTGAAGGGTTATAAATATTTTAGATTCAAATTGTTTTTCAGTTACGGCAACATAAGCACAAAAGTCAGTCAGTTTACGGTTAGTTTGCGTCCTTTGCATCTACCCAAGGACTTAATAACGTTTTGTGCAGAATTTTTCTCCGATTGACTGCACAGTAAAATGTTTTTGATTATTCTAGATCCATCTTCGGGCAGATCATGGTCAACATTTAAGCATATATAGATTCAATTTCAAGTTTATATCGCAATTTAAGGTAGGGAGGTAAGCAGAAAGAGAGACATAGTAAATATATATTTCGCTAATTACAAACTTATATCTATATACGTTATGGGATCCCTTATGAGATAAGTGTTTCTAAAAATCGTTATCGGAATGATAAATCAAATTTATGACATAACTGTATTTCGATGGTCGGTAATGAACTCATACATTTTATGATTTCTTATATCGAAGCAAACGGCTTCACAATGTAAATAGATTGGGTTTGGCTGCCTTAACGGAAGGGATGTGTGTCTCTGTTTTCTGAAATTATGTCTACTCATCACACATATATACTTGAAATGACTGAAAGAAACTATTCAATGAATACTTATCATCATCGCATTCACAAGCTGTGCAGAGTAAATTGGGAATATTGAATGCACATATACAGGCAGAGAGAATGCCGAAGAAAATCTCATGCAATAGAAAAAAAGAGACAAAATAACCATCCAGTGCAGTGCGCTCGTATATCAAGAAAAAAAAAAAAAGCAAAAAAAAAAAAAAAAAAACGGAAAAAGTAAAATAAATACGAGAGTGTAGAAAAATCCAAATCAAAACCAAAACTCATATGAGAGTATATTTTTATGAAACAACTGGGTAGCTAGCTCGTTGGTCACGGCAAGTACTTGTATATATAAACTGACAAGCCGAGTGTAGAAGTGATCAGTTCAGTTTCAGTTTCGAACTGTTAAACACAACTTTGAAAAGTTCTAAGTCTTTTTTTATTACGCACAAGTGTACCACTTGCCTACTTGTCACAGCTATCGATTATAATTTTTGCCTTCGCATGCTTTATATTACGACAACCGCATCAAAAGCAATTAGAGAGAAAAAGTTCATTAAAGAAGTACAACAATACCATACAACAATAATTGTATATATAAGACTAGAACTTCGATACTGACTATAAAATTAAATAAATATATATATATATATATGTATATATAAATATATATATATATATATATGTATACGTAGATCTAAATATATAAAGCGGAGTAGAAGGTGCCACAACACACCTGTAATGTCTAATTACTGGTTAAAACAGCGAGTTTTGTGTCAACGTGTGCTTAAAAAAAATAATTTCATTAAATTTCAACCGCCTTTAGAGACAATGTTTTAATTAATTTCGCATAAAAATATTAAACTAAAACAAAAATAATTATAATATATATATAATAAAAACTCTTTAAAATAATTATTAAAGAAAACGTTCATACAATAATAATTATATATAATAAAAATTAAAAAAAAAAAAAAAAAATTATAAAAAAAAGTAATATAAATAAAAAAAAAAAGCAAAAAAAAAAAAAAAAAAAATTAAAAAAAAAATAAAAAAATTGAAAGAAAGAAATACACACCGAACTTGGAAAAAAATTTGAACTTTGTAGAAAATTCGTTTTTTTTTTTTCTCTACGGGAGAAAATTAGAAAAAGTGTTAAGAAATATTGAAGTTTTCCTTGTACACCGGTCAACGGTAAAAGCAGCAAAATTCCGCCTTCAGTGAAAAAAAACTTTTCCAAAACGGACATCTTTCGAGGACCTATGTCAGTGCTAAGCTATCTACTATTGAAATTCAATCAAAACGCTTTAACAAGGATACAACACAACCTTGAACTACTGAACTCTTTCATAACATAACACCATCGAACTTTCATTAATCAAGAGACGAACAGAGCATTCAGAGCGAATAAAAAATAGAGAAAAAAAGCAAAAACAAAAGCAAAAAAAAAAAGGAAGAAACGAAAAAAACTCTACGATCATTATCTAGAATTTTTTTTAAACGGTCGTTAAGTCTTAAGAAAAGCGAAAGAGTTTTACATTTTTTGTTTGATAGAAGAAAGAAAAAGCAAGAAAGCAAAAAAAAAAAAAGAAAAGAAAAGAAGCAAAGAAGCAGAGAAGCAGTTTTGCACTTATTCAGCCTGTGTTGTGTTAATAGATCAACGCAGTCTGATTATATTTTCAATTTTTTTGGCAGAGAAATTTTCGCAATCATTCATAACCTAAGAAGAAGACGTAGAAAAAAGAAAATACAAGTAAGTAAATGTGAATAAATATTCAAATGAAATGAATTAACGATTAAAAAGAATACTTTCTACATATCCACATGCATAACATTAAATATGTTAAATTCGGGCGGTCGGGCACATGTTCGCCTACTCAATATCTTATGTAATGTTTCGCTAATAAGTCTTGTGTATGTTATTAAATAAGTAATTGAAGGCAAATTTTCAATGATTACTAGATTAGATTGATATCGACGCCACAATCCATAGATTATTGATAAAAAGGATCTTTCATTGCGAGAGTTTACCGCACTCTCCATTGAAATTTCGATGATCGCATATATAGAGCCCGAGCCTGGAGAAGACACAACAACGCCACCATCAACACCAACAACTCCGAATGAGATGAGATTGGATCGCGATTGAGAATTTTACTAAGAATATTGTGTTTTTTTTTTTTTTAATTAGTCGGAAAGGGGAGTGGCAAGAGATCAATATGTCCAACATTTTTCAATTGGCGAAAAAAAGTGAAGGAAAAAGTTTTTCACCGGCATAGTATTTACCGTCAGTATCGTCATTGCTGAGTTGTTGTTAAAAACTTTTTCAAATGTCACATGTCATTAAAGTTTCATTAAGATTAGGTTTTCATACTAGCGTGTAATTCAAGCTAAAAAATAGATATTCTTTTTTGTTTTTTTTTTTTTGTTTTTTATAAACGATATTTGAATTATAATAACAAGTCATCTCTATGAAGGATTTTTTTTTCCATTTTACCTTTCTCTCGATTGTCGAGTGTCCACCTTGCAAAGTGAAGAAATCATTTTTAAGGATATTTTATAAGAGTGCTTCGCTTAGTATTCTAAAAATGCTTTTAGAAAAAATAGAAAAAAAAAACTTTGCTTAAAAGTTCCGAAATGAAATCATTTAAGGACAAAAGTATAGTAAAAGTGCCGCAGTATCAATCGTGTAAGCACGCTAAGCATAAGTGCTGTACACATATGTAAGGAATTGGTTCCCATAAGATTTCATATCACTCTTAACATAGCACTCTTAAGCATATTGTAAAAGTCCAAATAAAAAAAATTCCGATGATATATATGATCGTACTTTGCTTATAAATACTTTTCGATTGTGAAGGAATCGAACATCTTTGAGTAATTTTCAAGGGTTTCTTGCTAGTTTTCTCTTACAATTCTTTAAATGAAATGTTTGAAGCAATTCTTCGCAATATTTGTTAAACCCTTCATTAATATCATTTATGATTCGCTTAGATTTAATCCGAATCGCGGGCACTGTATAGGAAGAATCTTTAGATGTCCAATACCAAACTGGAAGTGTCCAAGTTTCCAACGATTCAACTGCTCGTCATTGGATTCCGAGTCAAGGAGGTTGATTTTCGCTTTGCAAGTCAGTTTATATTATATCAATAATTTCCCAAGAGCTATTTGACCGATATGGAAAGACTTTTTTTTTTGTTTGTTTCTTACGACAATTATTAGGTAGTGGTGAATTTATTTTCAGCTCCTTGAACTTGCTTGCTTCCAAAGCTTAAATTCTCTTACTACCAATAATTGAAAAGAAGTACAGAACCTAAAAGATAGATTACTTAAGAGATTATCTGTCTCCTATATCGATGAAGTTGCATCTTAAAAACGAATCTTTTAACCTTTTTTTTCATTTTTTTCTTCAATTCTATGAAACTTTTTTTAAATTCGATTTAATGATAATAATAATAATAATAATAATGCATATGTGCATATAATGTTTAGGGTAGGAAGGTCTGTTAAATTATTCAAGCTGTCGCTGCCGCTGCCGCTGCCGCTGCCGTTCGTATTTGGGGAAAGAAGAGGCAGAGTTGCATATGTCTTTATATGTGTAGCGCTAATTAAAAAAAAAAGGAACATATTTCAACTCATATTTATTCTTTAATTACACCTGTACCGAAGCAATGAACTTAAGACAGAGTTTATTCTACCGTAGGCAACGAAGCATTTGAATGATTTAAAGGCAAATTATGGTCGTCGAATTTTTATTGACTTTTATATTTTTATTTTATTTTTTTTTACATTTTTCTTCTTTTTTTTTTTTTTTTTGTTATTAATTCAAATTAAAAATTTTTTATTTTTTTTATTTAACATTAAAACGTAATTAATTATTGTATAATGACAGCAGTGTTTGACCGACTTTTAAACATTGTACTGATAATTAAATAAATAAATAAAGAAAGAAAGAAAAAAAAAAACCCCTGTTTTACGCATAACGTCTAGGAAATTTTAATTATAAATCAGTGATTAAAAAGTGTAATTAAGTATTTTTATTTATTTATATATATATATATATATATATATATATATTTCAAATTATGTAAAAACGTTTTTCGCTTTTTTTTTTTTTTTTAAATTTTATTAAAGCGAAATATCTGATGCAATAATTAGAAAACATTTCCTAAATATCTGTTGCGATCTGTTTCCTAAAAAATGCTTATGTTTGTGCATAAATTTCATTTAACTGCAGTGTGACAATGTCTATAATCGCATACATACGTACATATGAATCGCTCGTGTATGGTAAGAGTCTTGTGTATATTGAACCCCAGCGGCAAGCAAAAGTTTTTTTTTTTTGTTTCTTTTTTTTTTTTGTTAAGCTTTATAGTTGACTAAGTGTGACTAAACATGTGCTTCTGTTTGTATATATTTTAATATATATATCTACATATATATGTATGCATACACTAAATACATGTCTGTGTATATATATATATATATATGTATATATATATATATATATGTAAGTTTGTATGTGATTTTATATTTCATTATTTGAATTTTCGCTCAGTTTAGACTTTTGTCTTTGTCAAGGAAACAAACATTTACCATACGTTTCGAGCGAATTTTTATCGTTTTATCGTTTTATAGATTTTTTATATCCATTGCTGAAATATAATGATATATTAGTTTTGTTATTGCGTTCGTAATGGACAGATACACGCAGAAATGCTTACTCAAAATAAATAATCTTGAAATTTATTATCTACATAATAATGTTTGCATTACCGTCCCCGCCCCTTTTTTTTTTGCTTGGCATCTGCTTGAAACACATTTGAAAAGTTTATATAGAAAACTGTGATATGTCTCCCATAGTTTCATCTCGTGTCAAAATGGGGCTTAGGTTGAGATGTAGATTCAAAATTTCATAAAAAATCGAGGCAAGGCATTTCTGACTTAAGAAAAAAAAAAAAAAAAAAGAAAGAGGTAATTCGGAATATTGGGTATTCAAGATTCGTATTCCGTTTCCGTGCAGTCAGCCTTCTCTTATTATCTGATTTCACACACAAGTTTCATGAATGAAAACAATATAGTTAATAGTGAAAAAAAAAAAAAAAAAAAAACAGGGTCGGTGAAGATTATCGTACTATGGTTTATATGTGTGTGGAAAAGGCGGTTTCCTTTTGATTTTATTCTTCTTAAGGTAATCAATGTAAATGCCGATCTTGTTGGAAACTAATTTATTTTTTCCCCTTTTTTTCTTTTGGCTTTTGACTGAATATTTCTAAGACGGAAACTAATATGAAGGCATTTAAACATTATTGGAAATTATTGTGTATAATATCGGTTTGTTGCTATGGAACGTATAATGCTAAGGAGTCATATTTTTGCTAAGAAAAATTTCTTAAACGTTAATTTTGTATAAAAGCGGTTAGAAAACTTATTATAAAACTTATCATTTCCTTAGGTATATACATGTACATATATTCTGTACTACACTTGATCATATTTGAAATGCTGAAACGCTTAGAACGATAAGTCATTTTATATTATCATTTAGTCTGTGGGTGTGTACATTTTATTTTATTTATTTATTTATTTATTTATTTTTTTGCTTTCTACTGATAATAAGAACCTAGCGATTTGAAAAATTAAATCGATTTAGTTGAATTTATTTTAAAAGTAAATCATTTTTCTTTTTATTTGTATATATTTATATTTATATGTATAAATTTTTTTTTTTTATTTTTATTTCTTTTAGAAGATGAACTTGACTTATCTATTATTAGGCCTACTGGTGTTTGCCAGTAGTCGTGGCTCCCATGCTCGAGCCATAGACGATTTGGATAATTCCATTGAAATGGTGGATGACAAGCCATCTTCGCAAGCCATGCTTCATACCCGTAGCCGCCTGGGCCAAGATTGGATAAGATTTATAAAAACACCTCCAGGAAAAATTATGCAAACTATCGGTTCCCCAGTGGAAATTGTTTGTGAAATTATGGGCTCTCAAATACCCACAGTACAATGGGTTGTCGGTCATTTACCTTTGTCAGAGGTGAGTTAGTAAAAAAAAAAAAAATCAAAAAAAAAAAAAAATCAAAAAAAGAAAATTGAGAAAAATGCTTGAAATTTGCTTTAAAATTAACCTTAAATAAAATAAAATGAATGCTTGACATTGCTTAAAAAGTTAACATAGTGCATTTATTCGACTGCACTCTACAATGGGATCGATTTTCATGATAACGTATTAGTTTACTTTTTGAATAAATCTCTTCAAAATATAGTTTTATATAGTGTACATATATTTCTACATATATAAATATATTTTCTAGATTGACAGCATCGAATCGAATGTTATATCCGAATCGAGCTCAAGTGCTATAGTTAAAGTGCGATCGGTACATGTTATCGATCATATGCTGAGTGAACCTCGCACCTATACCTGTGTTGGACGTACTGGATCGAAAACCGTTTATGCCTCAACTATTGTTTATCCGCAAACAGATTTTAAGGACTTAGTACAAATACGCGAGAAACCTTTTCGCGGACCGTTTAGACCTCGCATTGTTTATAGTGAACGTATGCATCTGGATTTGGTTGGATCAAATGTCGTATTACCTTGTAAGGTGCATGCTCGCCCCAAGGCGGAAGTTACGTGGTTAAATGACGAAGGAAATCGCATAGAACAAAGTCATCGCATCAAATTGCTACCATCGGGTGATTTATTAATAACGAATATTAAATGGGAGGATATGGGTGCTTATAAGTGTGTAGCCCGTAACGGTATGGGTAAAGATTCCAATGATGTTTTCCTTTATCCTGTGCAGGTGAGAAATAATTTTGTTAAAATGTGAAGCGGGGAAAGTGCAAAAATGATTTTATAAAACATTTAAAATTCTTATTACAGAAAGAAGTCGAGGACCAATAAATACTTACTTATTATGCCAGTGAGCGCTTATACTACTTACATAACGTTAAGTACAAATCTTTCCCTTTTTAACTGTGGCTTAAATAAATTACAGTTATCAGCAATTTAGCAAAATGTTCAATTTTTAAACATTAATATCATAAATCATAAATAGCTTAAACAAAAACTATTGTGCTAAAGCTACCCCACCTTGAAATATTATCAGCACATGCAAAATAAA